TCGATCCGCCTAGTCTGTTGGACATGGCACGAGTGGGCTCTCAACTATGCCCTGAAGGATGTCTACATCCGACGCTGGAGAGGCTCTGAGCGTTGGGCTGAGCTGTCCCAGAAACGAGGTGCGCATTCACCCTCCCACTAAAAGCTGCTACTTGCTGACACCCAAGATGAATCCCCTGCTAACTCGTACCTTAGAGAAGTACGACATCTACGAACTGATTGAGAACCCTTCGGGCATAGCTGTCTATCGAGACCCTTTCTGCTCTCTGAACCGCACAGTCAAGCTGCTCTCCGATTATCCTGCAGTGGCATCTAAGATTCGTCGTATGTGGTTCAATGGCTTCTACGTCTCTGAGACGGACCAGCAGATTTTTCGTGTTCTGCGTAGCTGTGCAAACCTAACGTCTGTCAGCTTGCCCTGGACAACTCTGCGACACCTTGGCGCAAAAGAATGGGGGCAACTGCTCCTCTGCAATGGGGCTCCGCTCCAGTCGCTGGAGTTGCTCGCTGTAGATCTCACGGCTGCACAAGTAAAGGATCCGAAGAATCAGGTCGATATGCACCCACTAGCGTCCGGCTGCGTAGACTTCAGCCGACTTCGCAAGTTGAAAATATTCGGTGACTCCACGTTCATGCCGATCAATGACCAGGATCTTCAAGCCATTTCACGTACAGCCACGAGGCTCGAAGAATTCCACCTGACTTGCCATTCGACAATCTCAATAGACGGTAGGTTTCGCGTGACACACTTTATCCAAGTTATTGGACTATTGGGGCTAACCGTTGTTGATTCAAGGTGTTATGTCCATCGTCAAGTCTTCTCGATCAACGCTGAGAGTTCTAGAGCACTCTCCTCGATCTAATGATGGGTTCTGGCATCCCCATCCCGGCTCTCTCCCCGACAGCGAGCATATATGCACAGTTCTCACCGGTTGCCCACGGTTGGAAACGGTGTCCTTGTCTGTTCCTTCCATGTGCTCTGCTCTCTTTGCTAATGAGAATGTCCGTTGGGAAGGAGACTGTCAAGTCCGGGCAGCACGGCTTTGCGGCCATAAAGACGGCCGATCGAGCATTGGCGCTCAGGAGACGCTCCAACAATTGCTTCAGCAAGCTCGTCGGCTCGTGTCAGCTCGGGCAAGATCTTATGTGCCCAAGGGTTTATCCGTCGAACTATTCTTTGCCGACTTCATCTTCGAGCCGCGCATAAGCTCTGTCCATGGTGACTTCCAGCTTGCTGAACTAGCTTCGGAAGGTGCATGGCCTGCTTCGCGCACACTGTCCCAAAAGGGGCCTTATGGTACAACTGGACTGTATGGCAAAGATGAAGAAGGGTTATTTGAGCGCATTGATGAAGGAGAATTCCTTGATGGGGTTAGAAAAAATTGGCTCTCTATCTCGGCATAAGTCATTCCAAGGCCACTTGAAATCATGCGTTTGACAGGAATGCTTCGGTTATCTGTGCACTGCATTTAGCGAAAAGGCGCGTGAGGAGTCGGGGAGGGAGAGCACTCTTGCTTGTTTGAGCATTCAAAGGTTTGTCTCCGGGAATTCGGTTGGGTCGCATCCTCCGGTCAGCACGACGAAAATCCTATAGATTTCCATTTTAGTGCGCATCTTTAAATAATTTAAAATCTCAACCGTCAAATAATGGTGTATTCTTGCGATACTGGAATAGCATGCCGTGCTGGTGAGTATTATGTCTAGCTCCCTGGGGCTTCTTCCTCGAAATGGCAAGGCGCTTCTTGGTTGGCGTAGCAGGATCTAGTCCACCGCTCGTGGCGTTGTCCATAGAATGTTCTTCCAACCCACGGCGCACTTCTCGATAGACTCTTCAAACTCTATTTATCTTAGGATGGGAAGAGGCCCTGGCGGCTCATGTCACGAAATACCCGATTTACGTTTACATTTCTTTTCATCCCCATAGTTGATGAAACACGACATTTCTATTTCGCCAAATCTACAGGACCCTAAAGCATAATGTCCTCAATTCTCAAACATCAGTAGCCATTGCCTCCCTTCTATGTTACTCTCTCTAGCTACTTTCAGAACAGAGCGGTAGTCCAACATGACTATTGATCCAGTTCAGCACAACCCTATGCCAAGTTAGAGAATTTTCTGGTTTCAAGACCCAGTGGTTTTCGTCGGGAAACGTGAGGAACTGGCTTTCAACTCCTCGTCCCTGGAGGGTGTTGAACGCCGCCAAGCCTTCGGCCAAAGTTAACCGGTAGTCCAGCTCACTGTGGATGACCAAATGAGGTGTTGCCCAGTTATGTGTATACGCCGAGGGGTCCCATTTAAGCCAATCCTCTCGGTTGTTCCAGAGCGCCCCGTTGAATTCATGAAAAGGGAAATACAGCTCCTCGCTCGCCATCTGCCCAGCCATGCTGAAGACACCATCATGCGTTACGAGAGCCTTAAACTTACGACCCAAGGGCTGGCCCTGGACCCAATTTATCATATATCCACCTGTTTTCGTATTAATAGACTAGCGTTTCAGGCGATAGCTTTACATACCATAAGACGCGCCGAGCGCTACGGCCCGACCCGTGTCTACGTATGGAAGATTCTCCTGGATCCAATCAAAACCTTGGGAAATATCTTGGTAAGGCAGCCCACCCCATTGGTTCTGAATGGCGTCTGTAAAATCCTGACCGTAGCCAGTACTCCCGGTGGGATTGGGGCAAATGACTACATAGCCTTGCTCGGCAAAGACTGCTGGGTTCCATCGGGTGCTCCAGCCATCGGTCCATGACCCTTGAGGCCCGCCATGGATGAGGTAGGCTAAAGGATATTTTTCCGTTTCGTTGAATGTAGATGGCTTGACAACCCAAGCATGCACTTGCGTGTTCTTCGCCGCCCCTGGCCAGCTGATCTCTGCGACTTGCTTTCGGGATAGTCCAAACATAGATCCATCACGTGAATTGGAGGAAATGATGTTGTGGCGCTGGGAGCGATCAATCAAGTGATAGGTGCTGTTGTCAACCAAGCTCGTTGAGGACATAAATACATCTCCAGTTACCAAAGGCCGAACATCTAATGACAAGTCAAATTTAAATTTGGAAGAAGTATCAATCAAGAATATTTCTCACCGGTTATGGTACCACTGTTAAATATGAGCTGTGGAAGTGATGCCTTGATCAAGTCCACCAATGGCACTGAGAAAAGGCAAACTCTGCCTTTGTCTTCTGCCAACAGATACAGTTGTTTGCCATCACGGCTCCACGCTATCGTTTGTGGGCTGCGGTCCCACTTTCCTTTTCTATCTTCCGAAGCAAAGGCGTGTATAACCCATGATGGCCGGCGAATGTCGGGAACAACGAATAGCTGGTTCTTATCCGATTCATATCCGTCTTGCCGCATGGACAAGAAAGCTGCTTGCTTGCCATCGGGAGAGAAGACCGGCGCAGTACTTGCACCTTCAAATCCGAAAATATCTATTTTCTTAGGGCTCGGAAGAGCTGAATCTAAGAAACTTGTTGTTGGAATCAAATAAACATTGACTTTGGTATGTGTGGCCGGATTCAAGTCAGGGTCTTTCGCGACGAATATCAATCCACTGGAGCTGATATCAAAGTGGTCACTACCGCCAAAAGGCGGAACAGGAGATTCCAAAGCAGTTCCCTTCAGCGCATTTACTAGTGGTGAAAGGCTATATTGAGCGTAGCTGTGAGTTCTTGGCGAGGGTCTTGAGATCATTCCCAGCCATATGGCACTTCGATTTGGTGTTATATAAGTATCCCAGTGCCGAACGAATAGGGACTTGTACAATTTAGCCGAAGAGTGTGGCTTCGGCGCGGTTTCAGGGTTATACAAATCACCGTCTGGGTTGGCCTGCGCGGTTATTGCCAATGCGAATTTATTTTCCTCTAGCAAATGAAGTTTTACGTTGCTCGCAGGTGCATCGATTATGCCAGCTGTGTAGCTGCTATAATTTTCTCAGCCTGAGGGGTCTAAGCCAATGTTTAGGAAAACAGATGACTCAATTACACAGGTTAAACTAATCAATACGGGACAAATTGCGAGGCTCGGTTCAGTGATATGTGGTAACGTAGGAATTTTCGAGTCGCAACTAAGTCGAAGGGATATATAACGAGCGGTTTGGCATGACTGACCTTTTCTTGAAGTTTTCGACTTGTCCAACTTTGACCTTTGTGGAACCTTTGTCACCAGGCGTCAAAATAAGAACATGGTCATCGCCGAGCCAATTGGGTTCACTCGCTCCATCCGAGTCAGTTATGAGAGTGGATCTCTGAGTAGCAACATCAAGCACCCGGATTTCGGAGGTCTTTGAGTGCTCTGCAAAGGAGTAAGTGGAGGTGGTGTATAAGACTCGAGATCCGTCTGTATTGGGTACACCTGCGGACCGCCTTGGAACACTGAGGAGGACCTCCGGCGTGAACTTTGTCGCCCGAACTGTCATCGTTGAAGCACGAGATCTATGCGAGGAATAAGCCTTTTTTTTGTAAATTATGATAGCGCGTAATTCAAGGAAGTTCAAGCAAAGTAAATAATCCTAACAAAGAGATGTGCAAAATGAAAAGAAACTGGCCGAGGAAAGCACTGGATGAAGCGACTTGGAACCTTCCTGGTCGCAATCGGCCCCGAGGGATTCATACCTGAAGTGCAGCCACTAGCTGCGTGCAAACTAAATGCTTTATGATAGGTAGAAGAAACGGATGTGAGTAGTGGTTATATTTGACGGACAAGGAATGCAGCTATATTGTAGGTCCCTAGCTAGCCCTGCCGTGGCCAAGTGACGTTGAAGCGGCTTCTCCCGCTCTCCGCCAGAGCCGCCCGGGCACAATCACACTGCAATGCAATCAAGACCCAACCTTACTATAAATGGCAAGCGTCAGGTACCCTACACAGAAAGTTGCTCTCCCAACTCCTCTTCATATTCTGTTTTGGGTTGTGCATAGTCATCGTCTATATTTATCAAAATTTGGGAAGGTCGTAGAAAGTTTTTCGAAAATCAATTCGAGAAATCCCTTTGGGTTTCTAAGTCCCGTGGCGCAGTGGTAGCGCGCCGTTCTTATATAATTCGTCAGACTTATATGACCACCATCTGGTAATGCGGATGTCACGGGTTCGAGCCCCGTCGGGACTATGCCACTATTCATTTTTTATGTTCATGCAGGCTTTCCTTTTTAAGCACGTTATTCTTCGTTGGTAGGGGTACTTGGGCAGCCTCTTTGAGTTCAGCGGCGTGTCACGTGATAGGTCACGTGACGGCGCGTGGGCCATCTTGTAGATACCTTCTCAGGCCACTGAGCCCCTTAGATTCTTCCTCATAGAGCATCATATGTATCATTTCCACCAGCCTACTCAGTAGCCTGTCATTCTTTATCCCTTAACACATCAATTCGGGTCCTCAGGTCATCGATAAGGGTCAACCAATCAGATCAGCTAAATTTGGTGGCTGTACTCAGGAATATGAGGCTGCTATGTGTGTTTAAATCCTTTCAGTAGTCTTTGATGGCCGGCTCTATAGTAATTCCTATATGAATAAGCACTCCGAAGTACGCGTAGAGCTCCTGTCTGCATGTTGGCTGCCATGCGCGTAGGTGTTCTGCTTCCTTATCTAGCGGATAGAGCTCCGTGTGCTTATTTGTCCACTCTATAAGCTTATCCATAATCTTATCCGTAAAGAACGGTCTGAATAACTCGAAAGGGTTGTATATATTAACGTTAGAGCTAGCGGCATCTGTCGGGGGGTGGGATAGCCTAATTATTAATAGAGGTTCGAATTCGGAACGGTTAGGGTTTGGGGGGCTCTTTTCGCCATTTTATTTGGGGGAAGGTTATATTAGGTCTTCTGAACAAGATCTACATTAATTCTAGCACGATTGGAAAGCATGGTGGCGGTGTGACGATTGAATTCTATATAGATATACGCGTTGTTTTTTTAAAAACGGTATTCCGCACGGACCACTTACTCTGAGGACCTTGACGTGTTAAGGGATATAAACTATTTATTAAAAAGTACCTGGGTATTAATAATATTGGAATGATTGTATATGCTAATAATTAATTAACTTAGATTGCTAAGTCTGTTTAACTTTAATTTCAAAATTCTGAGGCTATTTTTCTAGGGGGTTTGGCTAGGACAGGCTCAAGCTGTGGCAAACCGTCTGACGTTGTCTGCCTGGGGAAGGAGGTTTGAGCATAGATCCCTTGATCAGCAAAACATTACTTTTGCCAAACCAAAGCAGCGTAGTGCACAATCACATAAATGCTCTTAATGGGTTTGCCTTCTCTAAGCGCAAATACACTATCAATGAGTCATTCGAACTGAATCCAGCTAGGTATTCAAAGAGAACCTACAAAGCAACTGCATACCATTGGGTCGCTGGAACCTTCATTGCGATAGCTCGTCGGGCGGGCTATGCATTTAATCTACCGCAGAGGCACGCCCGTGAATTAGAGATTCAGTCGACCATGTGGCATTTTACTGATCCAAAACATGCGATACCTCTAGCTCCAAACAGACAAGTCCGGACATAGGCACGGTGTACCCGTCAACAATACAAGATAGATCATGCAGAGAACACGGAGCGGCTAGCACGGGCAGTTCGGCTTTCGCATACCATATCGCAAGCTATTACCTTCCTACAGCGCCCGGTAAACCGTAATGGCATGTCCGTGATATTCAATGTCCGGAAGTAGTGTGTAAATCGTATTTCTTAATCATGTTCGTCCTCTGTAGTTCCAGGGCATCCGTCCATACTTGCATCATGATACTGGTACTTACACCAGAAGCAGTAGTGATGTGTATCGCGTAGGTAGAGTACCAACCTCTCAAGTCGTTCGGTGACAGGCAATGCATTAAACTCTTCCAACTGCGGGTCCTCTTCTTCCAACTCCTCCTCAAGTATGTTCCACTTTTCCTCCCTGCCGAATGCCCGCCTATCGTCTTCGTCTTCATCGGGGTCAGTATAGGTTGGGAGTCGTGAGCGGCTCTGGGCTAGGTCATAACGCATTCTCCCCTCTCTTTCCTTCTCCAGTCTACGCCGCAATAGACCGCGCCACAAGACGTTCATGCTCTTCAGGGTTTCTGTAGATCCCCTAGATGTCCAACATTTCCCTTGGCGGTCTGGTAGTTGATCTGACTTCTCTGCAAGAATTCCATTCTCCTTTACCTCAGTATCCAATCTCTCGGCAACTTTTTGAGCATTGATCAATTGGCCTTCCTTTCTTCTCTCTTCTCTTTCCGATCTCATTCGTTCCCTGTATTCGCCCTCTTCTGCTTTGACCCGTTTAGCTTCATGCTCAATCTCCTCTCGAAATTTCCTCTTTTTCTCGGCGTCGAGTCCAATACCACCCTTGTCTTCCTTCATGACTATATTGATAGGCTCAGCACGCCCATCTTTGGACGCCCCTAAAGTGTCGCCTTGCTTGAAACCAAATTTTGCCATCATCTTAAAACCTTTGTTGGAAATGTCCAACGACGTCGCCAGGGCGGTCTCTCTTGCAGCCGCTTCGTCTGCTTCCTTCTCGGCCTTCGATTTCACACGAGCTCTAAGTTCAGCCTACAGAATATATATTAGTAAGATAATAGAGAACACAGAAACAGCATTAGGGATTCACCTGCCTCACGCCGCTTCCGGGCCTGTCGCTGAATAGATGTCTCCTTCTCGGGTTTTGTAGGCTCCATTATCACCATGGACATGTAGTCGTCGACATCTTCGCTACTATCCATTAGCTCCGATGGGGTATTATTTAAATCAGGAGGGGGCGTGTTGTGAATTAAAAGTCTCGGATAGTCTCAGTGTAGAACCGACGCTAGACCAAGGTAGCTGTCCGAAGTTTAGCCGCGGAAGGGAAACTTCCCTGATGACCTGGCACCGAGGGAGTACGTTCTGCATACGACTAAAAAAACAAACTCCTGATCGAAAGCAGCAGACCTTTTCCCCGGCAAAGCACCACAGCGATGAAAAGCCGTTGAGAGCTTTCTTGGGCTCGACGAGAACCACAGTGAGTCTGCTCGCTATATATATCCAGCTCAGAGCTTCCTCAAGCGACGCAAGCACCCATTTCATGTGAGCGTTGCGTTCCGACGCCAATACGTGTATGTAGAGTGCCGATGTGTGCCAACTAACATGTTTTTGTTCCAACTACCAAACCAGAAGGATGCTCATCCGATGGTGGAGGATAAGCTTGAGTACGCAAATATCGATTATGCGCTCGTCATCAGCGAGGAGTACGGAGATGAGCCATTACACCTATTGGTATGGCTCTGATGTTAAAAGATGATAACAAACCTCGTCAGCCCTCTCGAAGATTGGAATCTTTGCTTCACAGTACAAGCGCGCAAGAGGAGTCCCAGCTTCATTCCAGGCCAGTCCTAGCACAATAAATTGAAAGAGTGGCTTCATCTCACTAAAGTACTCAATTGTAAGGCCTGAAATGAGCTCACTTCCGGAGGTAGCAGCTCGGGTTCTTACGGCGGGGGCATGAACACTCACTGCGTGAGGCATATTAACATGTAGAGCTGAGAAAATAGCAGGCATGTCGGGCTCAGCGCTCAGGAACAAGGCCAGACCTTGCCCTCCCTGTCTTGATCTTGATCGACTCCCCCACACTTGGCTAAATTTCATGCGATTGTGCCGCGCCGCAACCGCCGAGCCATGACGCTAGCAGCAACGTTTCGGGCGACGCTCTGCTCTGACATGGATCTTGGTTCCTTTGTGGCAACAGAATTATTTTGCGCAGTTCGTCTTGTGGATGAGAAATGTTGGGTAGGCATGCGGTGGCGCGCCAGATTTCCAATGAATGGGTGCAAGCGAATGCAGAGCAGACAAGCAAGGAGGCAAGTAGGGAGGCAAGTCAATGCATCCAGATCCAATCAGTCACAACAACAATCAGCATCAATTACATGAACTCCTGCGTGGCTGCTTTCATCGGTTTCGTCGTGGAGGCTCGAGCATACGCTTCTGGCTCCTTTGTCGCAAAGTTGCCCCGGTCGCGCGCAAGACATCATCTCGGGCAACTTCCTCTTTAAGCTTCTCTTGCTGGGCGCTGATTGGCTATAATGCAAACAATCAGGATTGCCACTCAATCTGCCAGCGTCCGGCCTGCCAGTCTAAGGTCCAACTAGTCTTTCGTCGTATTTCCTGTCCGCTCCCGCTAGCATGTGCTTCACGTCCATTGCTCCATATTCTTAATTCGTTTGCCTCCCCGCCTGTGCTTCCACATGCTTTAACAATACTGGAGCACCGATAGTTTGTGGTTTGCTTTCACTGCCATTCCAGTTTGTTTGTCCCTTCTCAACTCCCAATTCTGCTCGCTATGGAGAAAGATGAACCTACAGTGAAGGAGACGACCGACCAACTCGCGCCCTCTAGCTCAGTAAACGAGTCGAGCTTTCCAAAGAAAAGAGGTTTCGGCGCTGCCCTTTTCCCTCCTGGAAACACACCCGGCCTACGTCCAAGAGCGAAAAATCACTGCAGAAAATTCTGGTGGTGCGATGGCCTGGTCCTCGCCGTGATTGTTCTTGTCATAGTTCTACCAATGTAAGCACATCTCCGTCCTCATTTACTCACAAGAATGCTTTCCGATGCATTGCCCCGCCATCTTCAACTCAAGTGCCAGTACTGCATCTAACCGATTCCAGTATATACGTGGCTATCCCTAAGAAAGCCCAACACGATGTCAATGCTTCCACGCTCGAGATCCAAGTGCAAGATATCAGCGACCCTACTTCTTCGACAATCCATCTGAAACTAGTCAGCGTTGCACGTAGCGGTAGCAGCTTTCATCCCACGTTGGACGCATTCCAAGCCGCTCTCTTTCTAGAGGACACTGAGCCAAATATTATACCCTTTGGATACGTCGAAATCCCGAAAACTAATGTCGAACACGAAACGACTATTACCGTGGATCAAACTCTAAATATCACTAACATGGATCAATTCATTGATTATAACAAAGTCGTCATGAACAGCGATGAATTTCGTATTGCTATCCGCGGGCGGACCGGTCTACATCAGAAGGGCCTATCAAAAATCAACGTCGATTATAACAAGGTTGTAACAATGAAAGGTCCGAGGTCTCGTTGCCCTGCATTTAACTACCTACTAAAGGTTCTTTCTCTAGGTTTGAACAAGC